GGCTAAGTTAGAGATAAAGATGCCAATTCGACCACTGGATATTAGAGGCTGGCTTGCAGAAGAAATATCTAGGCTGGAGCTATGGGTTTAGGAATTATCTGTGTGTTCAGATGCCATCCCATAGAGACTTTCTGTAGAAAGCAGGCATGTAGACAAGAAAAGTATGAAGGAAAATCTCGTTGAAACATGGTTACTTAACAGATGGGGGAAAATTGGTCTATGATGAAGAAGGAGGATGTATGATCAAGAGAAAAGGAGAGCTAAATGGTATCGTGGAAGCCAAAAGGAAAGTTTCAAGAAAGCTTGGGGTGGGAATCCCATGTTAGAGACTGCTGCAGGGCTCCCTAAGATAGGATTTATGTCCCTAAATGCTGTTTTCCAATCCTGATTAGAGTCACAGCTTTTATAGCATAAGTATTTAACTTTACTAAACTCTGTAAACTCTGCTCCTAGAGACAGAAAGCCTGGATTCTTGTCTTAGCTCTAAGACTTTCTTGCCAGGTGACTTGGCCGATCATTAACTTCATGAGCGTCATTTTTCTCATTTGTGGAGTGAAAGAGTTAGACTATAATTGTTTAACGTTCCTTCTGGCTTTCAAGTTCTGTGCCCCAACTGTTTTGGTGCTTTGCCAAGCTACACTTCTAACTGCCCATCTCTGGAGGCTAACCATTCAACTGGATATAGAATTACAGAACTCTCTTATCTCTCCTTGATTTGTGTCTCTGTTGACTTTCCCTACCCTGGAGATAAATATCCACAGAGGGTAGAAGAAAGAGTAGATCTTGAATAGACAAACTGCCTTTCTTGGGTTTTTCTAAAATAATCAGATAACCAGCTTCTTTGTGACCTCAAGGAATCCCATCTTTGCACTCCTTGCTAGAAGGATTATCTCTTGATTTACCTACTTATGAATTTTGTACACTTTTGAATGAGATGGTTAGGGCTCCAGCTGAAATGAACGTGGCTTTTATCTTCTTACTGAACTCTTGCCCCAACACCAAGTATTTTCAAAAGTTAAGCTCCTTCCTGATTGATAGTTGTTTCTACTTGCTGATGTAATGTCTCTGTTGGAATCCGGTGAGATTTATCTAGTAATATTATTATTGTCATGATTTCATCTCAGAAGGCCTCGAATGCAACTGATGGTTTCATTATTGCTGTTTGTAGGTATATTCTCAGCAAGAGTTTGTGGTGACTAGGACTCATTCATAATTCCAAAAAAATATTGCTTTGAGATCGTTTCTCCTGAAATGTATTTGTGAGCAACAGAAATATCAGATATGTATAAAAATATGTGAACAAGCATCATTAGAATAGGACCAAGCCTGGGCTGAGAACTGGAAGGAGGCAAAGTAAGGATGGCCTAAGGCCAAAGGGCCATCCAGGAAATTAAATAAAAAGTCCTAATAGCTGACTGAGTCTCAGACAGTGTTAAAGCATTTCACTTGAATGAACTCATTTAATCTTGACAGCAAACTCATACAATGGGTACAGTAAGTCCCCTACATACAAGCATGTTCCATTCCAAGAGCATGTCTGTAAGTCCACTCTGTTTTTTGTTTGAGTTGGAGTCTCACTCTGTCACTCAGACTGGCCGCTCCCGGCCACTGCAGGCGGGTCTCGAACCCGCGGGCTCAGACAATCCACTCAACTCAACCTCCCAAAGCGCTGGGATTACAGGCTGAGCCACCGAGTCCAGCCTTCCACTCTGTTTTTAAGTCCAAAAAAGTTAGCCTAGGTACCCACCTAACATGATTGGCTATACAGTACTGTACTATAATAGGGTTATAATATTTTTCAACTAAATAATACATAAAAAACAGGCAAAAATAAAGAAAAGATCCACTTGTAGAGGATGCATGCAAATGACAATATACACCAGACACGTTAACTAACTTACATGATGGGACATGCAAACACACATTCACGTCTTTGAAAACTTGCAACTGGAAGGTTTGTATATAGGGGACTTACTGTACTACTATCCTCATTCTCACTGTATGGATAAGAAAACTAAGGCACAAAGAAAGAAGGAGTCTGCCCAAGTAACATAGCTAGGACTCAAGACCCCAAGAATTCATGTATTCCATAGAAATAAAAAGAAGAGTTGTTTGTCTTCAGAACTCTATTGTATAATGGAATGGAGCCAAGTTAGCAGGACACTAAGTAGTTGAGCTAAGGTAGCTTAGAGTTCTGGAAAGAGAATTGAACCCAAAGACAATTCTGTTTCCATCTCTGAAAACAATAGTACGGCCTTGGGAAAATGATAAACTGGCCTCCCATCTGAAACAGGGACATGTGTCCAAGTGAGCTCTAAAGGTCTCTGGGCTGTAGCTTTCTATTTAAAAGAGTGGCTGGATGTAGACATTGGCTCTCTATTGCTTGCACACATATTAAATAATTCACTCTCCTGTTCAGCCAAGGCTGAGAATATTTGTCAGTGTGTGATCAGGCTGGTGCTATGGTCCTGTCCCCAACAGCTGTACCTTGCTCTATTTCTGAATCCTGGTGTGGGTGGGCAGTGGGAAGGACTGCTGGGAAGTCAAGTCATAACAACCTGTCAGGAGAACTCACCCGCAGTGCCCACATTAGCACAGATTATGGAGCTCTGAAAGTTCTCCTGAGAAGTATCTCTTGAGGACAGTGTAGAAACATTAGCAGGATATTTACCAGGTGGTGGGAACGTTACTGGGTCAGGAAACAAAGAGCATCCAGAACAACCATCACAGGGGATTCTATCTACTTCTCATCAAGCATGCTCTGGGGCTCTACTTCAGTGCCTCACGGTGTTCCCAGAGTTGGAAGTGACCCAACTCCGAATGCCTTGCACTGATTTTTCCTGATTAGGTTTGAGCCCTTTGCTTTTCTACTGTTTTCGGTTTCTCTTCTTTCCCTTCTTTGTAGCCAGTATAATTGCACAGCTATCAACCCTCAGCTCCCATAGAACTGACCCTGATGCTGTTACTTCTGATTTCATCTGGAGGCTCCCTTACCAGTCATTCCCAATTGTTGAGTGGGTCCAGGAGAAAAAGAGGTCAGAGAGGTAAGCTCTGCCCACTGTATAATCTCGGTACAATTCTGGTGGAGTCATTTCCTGGAGGTCATTTTGGTACAAAGGACGAGCATCTTGTCCTCTGTAACTCTATGACTTTCCTTTCAAATTACAGAATACCCAAAAGATAGAAGAAGTTAAACAGAGGAGATTTTAGGATTATGACACCATCTTTAAGTTGTTCCATGAACCAGGGGAGCTTGCTATGCAATTTTATCTTTATGATGTGAACTTTTGTTGGAAAAACCCAACACTTCCTAGAGTATAACTACAAAGTAAAACCTTCACCTGGAACACACATTCCTCAGTTTCCCTTTAGCTTTCCTTACCACTTACCTGTCTGTGGCACATACTTCCTGGATCTCATAACTGTCAAGCAAAAGGACTTCAACCTCATTCTTGAAGACTGCCGCAAAGCTTTCTGGAGACTGTCCTCTTTGTCTTTTCCCCCTTTCCTTAAGTTAAGTAGTTGTACTGACTAACAGGAGCTTGGCTAACACTAGTAGAATTGCACCCCTTCCCAACTACTGACACAGGGGCAGATCCCTTCCCTAGCACAGTGACTCCAGAGCGGGAACAGCACACGGCATAAGACCTGTGGCCTGGGGCTAGCACAGGGGGACACGATTATGTAAGTTATGAAGAAATGAAGAGGAGGAGGCTGAAAGATAAAGGCCACATTTCTAGAGATGAAAACAGGGGCAAAAGTCCAAACAGCAACAGCCAAAAATTCCACAAATATGTTGCAGTATGAAGTAAAGTCACGAACATACTCCATCCACTCAGCAATCCTCTCTCCCATAAATGAATCCCACTGCAATGGCATTAAGTGCATCCAAACATTTTAATGAAGCTCTGAAGAGAGCACATTTAGTTTTCTCAATGCTTGAGATGAATTTCCAAAGTTTCTTGATTCTTCCATGCTCTGGGAAGGGGGCAGGCATGCGGGAATGGCTGCCCACGTGCTGGGAAACATTACTAATGCCAAGAAATGAAATCTTCAGAGGCTTTGAAAGGCTTCCAAAAAATGTCAGCACGTATGGCCACTCTCTGCTGAATGCCTACTTTGGCTGTCTGCTTAGTACTGAATGTGCCAGACAGGCCTTCATACAAAGACAGAGAGTGTTTGGGGACCATGAAAGGGGAAGACATAGCCTTTTGAATGTGAATGGTGAGATTCAAAAAGTAGGTGATAAAGGAAAGGGGGGCCTCTCAGGAAAGGTATGAGTGAAAGACTGAAAGAAAAAGAGTTGGCATCTACCGATGTGCTAATAAATTCCTTGTAGCTCCTGTCAACTCCAGAGATGTAGATGAATGTCATACTGTATTCCATGCCTGATTATTATGGCATGTCTATATGCCTGACTTATAGACACTCTTTTATCCAAAAACCTCTTGATTATCTGAAAATAAGATGTTTTAAGCCCTCCCAAGACATATAAAAGTATACTTCTGTTTACTTTTCAACACCAAATATAAATGCCATTTATACTGTGTGTCATCTGGGATTTTCTTTGACTCTTTTCACCTCCAATATAGGAGAAAATGAGAAATATCTGTTGAAATACATATGAATACCTTGGAATTTTTTTTTCCTTAAGCTCACTTTTAAAAAGGAAGAAAAATGTTTTGTGTAGTGAACCATTCTCTAACTCTTTAAGAGTGCTACTCATAATTCCTTGGCACAGCATCTACTGCTAGAAGAAAGAACTCTTCTGGTGTTCGAGCTTTTCCAAAGAGACAGTCTGACGTCATTGGTGGCAGACACAGTATGTATGTATCTGTCTTTTGTCTGCACCATCTGTTTTTCTCCTTACAGGATATTGTTCAGATTTATTCCTCTCTGTTTCCAGGAAGTGTGCATCTCCATTAGAACATGAGCTTTAGGTGTTAAAGGACCTGAGTTAGATATTCTAACATGATTTCCTTCTGTTCCTTCCTTCCTAGAATCTTATGGCAAGGGCCTTATATGACAATGTCCCAGAGTGTGCTGAGGAATTGGCCTTTCGCAAGGGAGACATCCTGACTGTCATAGAGCAGAACACAGGGGGACTGGAAGGATGGTGGCTGTGCTCCTTACATGGTCGGCAAGGCATTGTCCCAGGTAACCGGGTGAAGCTTCTGATTGGCCCCGTTCAGGAGACCACCTCCTGTCATGACCAGCCTACTTCTGGACTGATGCACCAGACCTTTGGCCAACAGATGCTCTATCAAGTGCCAAATTCACAGTCTGCTTCTCGAGACACCGTATACCAAGTGCCACCTTCCTACCAAAATCAGGGAATTTACCAAGTACCCACTGGCCATGGTACCCAAGAACAAGAGGTATATCAGGTGCCACCATCAATGCAGAGAAGCATCGGGGGAACTAGTGGGCCTCACTTAAGTAAAAAGGTAAGTGGCTAACTGTATTTTTGTTCCCTACTTTTTTTTTCCATTGCACTTGGGACAACAGGAATGTTCCCAAAATAATAACTGTCAAGAAGTAAATATAATATATACCCTAGCTCAGGCATCATCGTTGCATGATTTTGCCATTTGTCGGTCTGCAAAACTTTCTTGAACTACCACGTGCCGAGTACTGTTGTTCCCCAGTTATTGTAAATTCCTATGTCATTCTGGGCCATATAGGCCTTGAAATTGTTTCTCTCCAACCTTCTGATAGTTCTGCTTCTAGACCTAGATTCTGTGTTCAAATAGTTGCCTGTCTTTCCTATTTTTTCATTGAGTAATACAGATACCAAATCTTGTACAACCATCATGCTGCAACACTGATCCTCCTTTGGCCAAAAGCTAAATCATTACCTCACTGTCCTGGCTAGGCAAAGAACCCATCAGGAGTAGAGAAAAGTGAGGAAGCTGAGAGTAGGTCATGTTCGCCAACTTGTTCGGTAGAGTTGTCAGTTAAGATTGACTCATTCAAAATGCATAGAAACTAGTGAATTTGGAAAGAAGCCATCCTCTCGTCCTTCAAGTAATTCCTATAATAATGCCCAAGGCAGTGGATGAAAATAGGGTACTTAGAGATCAATTTTTTTTTTTTTTGAGTTGGAGTCTCACTCTGTCACTCAGACTGGAGTTCAGTGACCACTCCCGGCTACTGCAGCCTCGACCTGCTGGGCTCCGGTGATCCTTCCGCCTCAGCCTTCCAAGTAGCTGGAACTACGGGCATGCGCTACCATGCCCGGCTAATTTTTCATTTATTGGAGAGATGAGGTCTCATCAAGTTGCCCAGGTGGGTCTCGAACCCGCGGGCTCAGGTAATCCACTCACCTGAGTCTCCCAAAGCGCTGGGATTACAGGCTGAGCCACCAAGCCCGGCCAGAGATCAAATTTTTTTAAAAAGCGTGGAGAGCTCTTCAACACCCTGTATAAGCCCAAATACTACAGCAATTTGTGATAAATAGAAGTTTATTCACTGAATAATGAATGTTGAGCATCCTTGTGTCTTTTTTATTATTATGCTATAGTGATGAATTAAAGAGTAAACGAAGCCCTGGTGATGCTTACATGGCAGGGAGGAGACATAACTACGATAATGTCAGGTGAGGATATGTGCTATGAAGAAAACATCAGTGGACTTTTAGGGGAAGGGTAGTCAAAACCAAGATGATGCTATGTGAGCATTACAAGGGAAGGATTTTCTCTTTCATATACTGCCAAATTCCAGTGGGTCCTGCAAGGGATGGTATTAAGACTAAACCAATTTAACAGATTAAAAAAAAAAAAAAAATCCCTGAATTGCAAGAGGAAAGATGCAGTTAGATACCTGACTCTTAGGCCACTGGTTATAGATGTGTTCTGCTTCAAGTAAATCTAATCCAAACTCTGAATTTATAAACCCATGTAAATTAGGGAATATCTCTTTGCATGATATTAGAATCTTTGCATGATATTAGATTCTAGAAAAACAAGGGGAAAATACTTATTGCGGAATTCCTTTAAATAAAAAAACCATGAATGCATTTCAGATCACATCTTATCTAAAAAGTATGTTTTATAGAACACTTCTCAAGAGCGCACGTGTTGCATAAGCCAGTAGATGTCCCTTAGGAAAAATTCTTCAAGAGTGTTGAAGAGCTTTCTAACTAGTATTGCCCAGGACAATGATGCCTAGCTAGAGGCTATAGACTGAGCCATGACCTTTCAAAGTTCTTCTTACCCCCAGAGACTTTTGATTCAAAGAGAAAACCAAACCTGGCCTCTATCTCCAGAGGGGCAAATGAACAGTTGAAAGGTGTAACTATAGATAAATAATGTCTCTCATTCTTAGTCCTGGTTGTTTGCACCTTAAAAATAGCTCTCCTTCATCTGAGCCAGTGTGAGGCAGACAGGGAGGCTAGAACAGGAAGTGCTTGGCTGAGAGGTGCTGGGCTCTACACTTTCATCACAGTTGATTTTGGCAGTAAAATGACATGTTTTCCTTTTTAAACTCAACCTTTTAAGTTCCAAGTCTGAGAAATCTAAAACTTCAGATTTCTCTCCATCATATTTGCTGTAACTGCCTTGTTTCTCTTGGTTCTTCTTCTTTTTTTTTTTTTTTTTTTTTGATTTGGAGTCTCACTCTGTTGCCCAGACTGGAGTGCAGTGGCCACTCCCAGCCACCTCAGCCTCGACCCACTGGGCTCCGGAGATCCTTCCACCTCAGCCTTCCGAGTAGCCAGAATTACAGGCACACGCTACCATGCCTGGCTGATTTTTGATTTATTGTAGAGATGAGGTTTTGCCAAATTGCCCAGGCAGGTCTCGAACCCTCGGGCTCAGGCAATCCATTCACCTCAGCCTCCCAAAGCGCGGGATTACAGGCTGAACCACCGAGCCCGGCTTCTCTTGGTTCTATATCTTTCAAAGGGCAGAGACTTTGACTTGCCTTCCCTCAGATAGATGAAAAGGAGCTGGGGCACTGGGCACTTGGCACTCAAATTCCTTGTTTTGTTGTGTTTTAAAAAAAATTACACTCTGTAGAATATTTCATATTTAGCAAAAGGTAGATGAGTCCTGTAGGAGGAAAGTGACCTCTGAAGAGGACCTCTGTCAGCCCTTGCAGGGGGCGCAGCCAAGGCTGGGGAGTAGGTCAAGCCTGAAGCATTGCACTGTGGGGTCTCTAGCAGTCACATGACCAGTAAAGGAAGAGCAGGAGGGTGGTCCTGACTTCTTCCTGCCAAATACCAAGTACTCTCCACACTATCTCGACCTCCTTCTGAAGGCTTCTTAGTACCTCTGGGTCTCTAGGTTGCCTGCTTCCCTTCACTGTTCCCTGGACCACTGGTTCACATTCCCATGGGAGTGAGTTTGCCTCTTCCTCCCTTTCTTCCCTCCCCTCCCGCCCCCCACCCACCCCTTCACCTTTCCTTCTTTCCTAGTGGAGATGGCTTAGCTGCTAAAAGGTGATTTTAACCTTTCAGTTAATAGCAACTACTTAAAAAACTCCTGTCAACATCTTCCCAGGTATAGAACCGTTTCGGTGGCTGGGAATCATACTGAAGACTTAAGCCAAGGCCCTAAGAGATCATCCCAGTGCAGGGGGATCGGGCGTGGCTTTTTAAATTTTTTTTTTTTTCGTTTTAGCAATTTTACTGACTTGCTAAATAAAACAATTTGCTCATATGTCTTTTGTTTTTCTCTTTGCTCACCTGCTTATTTTCTCTTGTAATTTTTCATCTGTAAAATGGTAGTGAACCCAGAACTAGATATGCTTGGTAGTTTGAGCTGTGGTCCTTAAAAGCCAGTAAACAAGAAAATGAGGAGGCAGGGGTAGCTTGTTCTGAACCACTGAAGTGTGGTTTTTAAAATTTCACTGAATATAGAATCACTTACAGAGGTAGAGAAGGTGAGTTAAAATGCAGATTCCTAGGTCTTCCCCTCAGAGATTTTAATCCAGTAGCTCTGGGCTAAGATCCAGGAAACTGCATTTTATTGACCTCCTTGCATAGTTCTGAGGGAGGTGGTCCAGGACTAGACTTTGAGAAACACCGAAGGGAACATGAAGGGGCTGGGACATGTTCCAATCTGATTGTGATTCAGGACTTTCCATAGTTCAAAATTCCCTTGATGATGCTACAAACTATGGGGCTTCAGAAGTTTTATCCACCACCCACCACGGTTTTTTCTACTAATGAATCACTTAAGGAAAAAAAAAAAAAAAAAGACAGTGGATTCTGCCTTCTCTCACTTCAACTTTGCTCTCTGGGAAACTGCAGTCACTACCCACTCTCTTGCATCCCCTCCACATTAACTGGCATTCATCATGTGTTAAATCAGCATTTAGACAAAGAGTCATAAAATCCCCACCCTTTTATGAAACAGAGAGACAGCATGAGAACTGTGGAACGAGTCTGGGCTTTGGGGTCAGGCTGACTCTAGGTTCTGTTTCTTCATAACTTTGTGTCCCTCGGCAAGTTACTGACCTTCTCTAAGCTTTGGTGTCTTCATCTGTTAAATGGGAGTGATCATAGCTACCTCACAGCGGTGTTGTAAGAATTAAATAGAGCACAATATAGAGGGTAGCATAGCGGGGCCAAAAAAATGAGTTCCCCTCACCTTGTTTTTTCTTTCTTTCTCAGAGTTTGTTTTGAACAGCATCGGCCCTGTTTATGCTTCTTGCTGTACTCTGAATGTGCAGATAATTGCTAGCACATACACTGTACCTTTTGGATGTGGGACTTTCTCTTTGGTTCTACAAAAATCCTGCAGAGAATGGAAAATAACTCTCAGTTATCCAGAAGCCATAACATAGACAACTTTGCTTAATCTCATTAGTCTTTTTCATGCTAGGTTTTGTGTGCAGAGCCATTTAACCCATTAAGTGTTGTAGGCAGAATGCCCAGAATCTACGAGAATGTTTGAAAGCTGCATTAAAGGTCTTTGGCTCCAAAATAGGAAACACAAAAACTACAAAATAGAAATTAATAAACATTGAGACAAATGTCTAGGAAACAATATCATGTCGACTCCATTAAATTGTTAAATTTAGCCTGGGAAGGTGGCTCAGCCTGTAATCCTAGCACTTTGGGAGGCTGAGGTGAGTGGATTGCCTGAGCCCGCGGGTTCGAGACCTGCCTGGGCAACTTGGCAAAACCTCATCTCTACAATAAAATAAAAAAATTAGCTGGGCGTGGTAGCACACACCTGTAGTTCCAGCTACTTGGAAGGCTGAGGCGGAAGGATCGCCGGAGCCCAGCAGATTGAGGCTGCGGTGGCCCGGAGCGTGCCACTGCACTCCAGTCTGGATGACAGAGTGAGACTCCAACTCAAAAAAAAATTGTTAAATTTAAAGCTCATAATTATTTCATTGCATTTGAAAATAATTTGTAGGTTAGATTTTTCTCACTTTGCAAAGATTCCTAAATATGCATTATGATTGCCAAGAACCCACAGGCAATTCTAAATTAAAT